TTTCGGCGTCTTGGCGGTGGACCGATATCGTCGTTTGTGGGCGAAAACGCCGTTGTTCTTAAACGCTCTTGGGGACGGCGTCGCAGTAGGTTTGCGAGGTTTCCCGACGGGGCGGGGTTTTCGTTGGCTGGTCCGTCGTCCTAAGCGTCGCTCCACCACCGAGGCTGAAAGGGACATCGCCCTGCCTCATCGGCGTCTACGAGAGGGGGGAGGCGAGCAGAAAGAGAGAAGAAGGAAGAAGGAGAGGATGAGAGAGGAGAGCGATGAGAGAGCGAGAGAGGGAGGAGAGAAGAGTGAGAGATGAGAGAGAGATGAGAGAGAGAGAGAGAGAGATGAGAGAAAGAAGAGTGAAGAGAGAGAAGAGAGAGAGAGAGAGAGAGAGAGACGAGAGAGAGAGAGCGAGAGATGAGAGAGAGAGAGAGAGTGAAGATTAGAGATAGACGAGTGAGCGAGAGAGAGAGAGGAAGAGGGAGAGAGATCGAAGGGAAGAGAGAGAGAGAGAAATTGGATGAGAGGGGGGGGGGGAGGAGAGAAAGAGAGAGAGAGAGAGAGATCGGACAAGTAGGCGGACCAGGGTCCGTCCGCGAGGCGCACTGCGGTGCGACAACTCGCAAGCACTATTAGCGGCGGTGCAGCCTTAAGATACGAGGGCGGGCTACAAAACCCCCTCCCCCGGCGCAGTGCGACTGACGCTACAGACGGCGAACAGACGATGAAGATCTCACCTGACAGACCGCGTGAGGTAAAAGGCCCCAACAAGAAAGGCGACGTGCTGGCACGTGGCTAGGCGGCTTGGCGGACCGCCAGTTGGGCGCATGGCCGCTAAGCGGCGCGCAGTGACGGGGCACCCCCCGCCCCCGCGCCCTGACACCGTGGACGCGGAGCCACACGTACACACGGGCAGGCAGAAAGGAGGAGATCAGCGCGGGGCACCAGGTGGAGCGCCGCGGAACGATGACAACATAGCTTGGATGTTGAGTGACGGCACGACACCATCGGGCGAGGTGGTGTGGTGTGGTGTGGTGTGGTGTGGTGTGGTGGTGAGCAGCTCGGCGAAGGCTCGCCCAGCGCTATGGAGGCGCTGGAGTAGAGGACCTTGACGAGCTTGGGCAGCGGCGAGGTCCGCGGCGAGAGCTAAGCACTTCTGCTGAAGGGCAGCCATTAGCCTGTGACAGCTCGGTTTCACGGTCGGTGAGAGGTGGCTGCTCAGTGACATCCGCCGAGGATCTCGAGACAGAGGCGAGGTCCTCGGTGCGCCTGTCCAGGTGGGCTAGCGGCGTGCGGGACCCTGAATGCTGACGTCCGTCACCGTTAAAAGGTGACTGGAGGGGCCGGCGCGACCCCAGGGCTGGAGCCGCTAGGGCCGCGCCCCGAGAGGTCAGGGGAGCCGCATCCTCTCGCTCAGCAACGGAGGAAGCGTGGGTGGGGCACGAGGGCCTGTCTGGTTTAGTACCCTGCGGGGGGGCTGAAGCCGCCCCCGCGGGTCGCTGACGAGGGGGAGGTGAAGTGGTGTGCGCGGTGGGGCCAGTCGTGATGCCGTGCAAGGCCGCTGAGGTCGGTCGCGTAGAGGGTTGGTGACTCGGTGGGGCGGCATGGTCGGCAGCGTGTGGTGTCGGCGGTGCGTCCTCAATGCCACCCAATCCTCGGGGGGCACTCGGGTCGTGGTCGGAGTCCTGGCGGTGACCGATATCATCGTATGTGGGCGTTAACGCTCTTGGGGACGGCGTCGCAGTAGGGTTTGCGAGGTTTCCCGACGGGGCGGGGTTTTCGTTGGCTGGTCCGTCGTCCAAAGCGTCCGATCCCCCACCGAGGCTGAAAAGGTCATCGTCCTGCTCATCAGCGTCTTGAAAAGGAACGGCGTTGTCATGTGGGTGGGCTGACGCACTCAATGGCGGAGTCGGGGGCGCCGTGCGGGTGGCCGCGGGGGCAGGGTTGGCGCTGGCTGACTCGTCGCCCAGGAAGTCCAAACCTCCACCAACGCCGAACGGGTCGTCCTCCTGTTCGTCGAATAACCCCCGTTGGGCCTCGGCCCAGAGCTCGTCGGGGTTTTGTGGGATGTCTGGTCCAGCCGCGGGTGGAGCCTGGTCAGACAGCAGGGGATTTGGTTCCATTTTGTTTAGTTCTGCAGCAGTGAACCCAGCCCTGCGGTGTGGGAGAGGAAGAGTACGATGTCTCCGCTCGTAGTTGGCAACGGCGACTCCATGGAGCACGGTCGCTTGGCGGTGTCGTGCTTTGGCAGCTTCAACGATGTCGTCTGGGAGGTTATGAGTACGTGCCGCCGCTGTGGCGAGGGCGTCAGCCTGACGATTGAACTCCTCCGCGATGGGCCCGATGATCCCGAGGTCGATGCCCGTGTCGCCCTGGTGGCTAGCGACTTTCTCTACGCGGAACATGTTTGGCTTGGCCATGACACATCGGTGGACCTTTTCCCAGAACTCGACGTGCGTGCCCTGCGGAGGTGAGTGTCCGTCGATGATCCTTTGGAAGCCGTCGACCACCGCCTGGTTGTCCACGAAGACGTGTACGGGCCGTTCAGCACATGCCGTGAGGTGGACAATGGCGAGGGTCTCCGCAAGCTGTGCGTTCTGCGTGATGCCGTGAACGCGCGCACTGTAGTTCCTGCGGTGGTCGATGCCGTAGTAGACGCCGTAGCCCGCTCTTGCAAGCAAAGGGATGGCTTGGTTGGTGCATGCACCGTCCGTGGCCGCGTAGACCCATGTCCAACCAGTGTCGTGGTCGAGGTAAGTGGTGTAGGAGTCCTGGGCTGAAGCCGCAGAATCTCCCTCAGGCGGGGGCCGCGGTATGGGTTGAGGTAGCGGGTCCCTCGCGAGGTCGGCTTGCAGATCGAGGAGGGCTGGGTCCTCATCGAAGAGCCCGCAATGTCTTGTGTGCGGAGGAAGACGGGCCCACTGCTCGTCACTGATGAGGGTGGTGAGAGGGACTCTTTCACGGGCCCAGCACTTGCAGTCACGCACTGTGTGCTCCTGAGTTTCCTCTTCCTCATCACAGTAACGGCAAATAGGGCTGGGATCAGCGGACGTATTTGATCGAGAACGTCGCTGTTGGGTGTGGTCCCCGCCCGACAGGTAGTTTAAGAGGAGCGCCAGCTGCCATGCGTTGCATTTGGCAGCTCTTTTGGTGCGGGCGAGCCACGTGCTGGCGAAAAGGTCGAGGCCCTGTCTGACCGAAGCAAGGTGACCAAGGTCATGACGCCGTGGCTTGATTTTTCTGAGAAAGGCACTGCGTTGCGAGGCGCGCAGCATGTGAAGGAAGGCGTTTTGGGGAAGGTTCAGCCAACTGATCTGACAGCCCCAGTCGTCGTACATGGTGCCAAATGTGGGCCAAGTCCAACGGAGCTGCTGAAGCGTCTGAACAAGTCGTCCAACAGGTCCTCCGCCAAAAAGGGTCTGGTCATGGTGTTGGAGATCCCTGACGAGGCCGCAGAGAGTGGCGTCGCGGTTGACCTGTCGCCGCAGGCACAGGAAGACTTCACGC